TTCTGCATGCTGTTTTCTATGCATAAATCTACCCAGTGTAGGTAAGTGATTCTCTGCACTGTGTGTGTCCTCCCTCAATAGCTCTCCTTGCTTGGCACCGTCCATTCAGAAAGCTCCGGCTCCTAATGAGAGCAGACAGATCCTTGGCAAAATGGCCACATCACTATTTCTAACTGTAGATTGCTTTAAAATGGATCGGCCACAGAAATATGTTGCTGTGTGTGTGTTGAGGTAAAAATATACGAAGTGTATACACTTTGCACACACATTTAGACACTAAGTGTTTATGTTGGAGTTCTGAATGAGGTGCCAGGGGACGTCAGCTGAGAGAGCAGAAGAACAAAGTGAGGATAGGAATCGAGAAAAGAAAATAATCTCAAACGAGTCGATTTGTATTGAAAAAAGAAGAAATAAAAGCTTTACTGTTGCCTCACGACGTGCTTCTACAGAGATGCCTCTTGTTCACTTATGTAAACAAACACCCTGCTGTAATTCTTCATAGTGAGTTTTACCTCAATGTTTTGCTCCCTATTGCCCAAATGAAGTATTTTTGTTCTCTGTTAACTCACCCACAGTGCTGTTTTTGGCAGACAAGAGCAACAAAAACCAAGCAGTTACAGCTAGTAAATACCTCTTGGAACACTCAGTATGTGTGGTGTACTAGCCAGGTCTTGCTTAAGACCAACCTGAACCGAAAAAAAAAAAACGGTTTAGGGCAAATAAAATGTTGCTTGATAACATATAAGCGAAAATATTCGAGAGTTATTTGAAAAATCCTGTCTGCTGCCACCATGTGGCCAAACTTAGCAATTGCAACCGCATATAGCAACTCAAGCATAGCCAAACTATATCTAAATAAGATACTTAACATTCATTTGTAAATTTTAACATTCGCATATTTATGGTTATAAGGAAAACATCTAATGTGAGGCAATAGGGTCTGTTGTGCCAGTAGTGAAACAATGATGTAAAAGCTTAGCCTCTACAATTGTAGAAAAGAGTACACAGTCAAAACACGGGGGGTGAAGTTATTAAAAAAAAAACACATTTGGATAACTGCAATTCCTCTTAAAAACAGTAGGGGTCAGTAGATGAAACTTCTAGAAAGCTCCTTTTATTTTTTATTTTTTTAAGTTTTTAAGTACTTAAAAGTCAAGTTCTGCAAACGAAACCAAGGATCCATATTTCAAAGGTTACCAAGGCTGGGTTCAATTTCGGTCGATGCGGCTGAACCTGGCCTACCTGGACAGGGTCCATCAAAGTCCATGAAAATAAGAGCTCAGCTATGGATTCAAAAAGATCCACTCTTCTCCGACTGTCACTCAGCGTACGTTCTGTTGCCAAGCAACTGTTACAGTTGACTCACAAAGAAGGCAAAGAATGGATGCCGAACTTCTTACTGCTGTTCTGTATACTACAAACTACAAACATTACCAATTATTGTATTTGACTCAATAACCATCTAAATTAACTATTTTCCTTAATTCAAACTGAGATTATTCACATACTTGTATTATAATAAACTGCACTTACAATATTCACCACTGTTGGCCGCTATTTGCCTTTTTCCTCTGAAAACGGAGCAACCAGCTTGCTTGGACTCGCAATGAACGATACAGGGGATCTTTCCTACCAACCCAGAAAAACGAAGGCTTCGTCTGTTGGCCGCATACAAAGGAGTCTTCGAATCCGAAGAAGCCACAGCACCAAGTAATGACGTAATAAGCCAAAAAAGCTGGCCTTTGAAGGACGCAGCTGTCGGATTTGTAAAAAGCCATTAATGCATGTACTTGCCTGACTTATCAGGCCTGGCTAGTTTGCTCCATAGCAAAACCTGTTGTGTCCAAGAAGGGAACAGCAATTGAAAATAATCTGGAACTAGTTAGATTCTAGAAGCTAGTTCTAGAGTTTAGTAAGTTCTAGAATCTAGAATTTACAATGTGCAAAAAGCTGCAAATGTGCTCTAAATCTTAAGAACTCAAAAAATTATAATCTACCAGGTAGTTCCTTACTTCATGAACATGGTAACAGGCTTTAATGAGTCAGACATTTTGACTTGTATGTAAAACTCCTCCCTAAATCTGTCTGACAATTCATCACCACAAACAATCAATCAGTAACATTCTTGACCAATCGTAATCTTTCTTCGTCTAATGCAAGTAATATGATAAAACTCACCTGTCTTTCACATGGATTTAGGTATACATACCCACCAAGCAAAAATTGGTTTAAGAGACATTGTGATTGAAAAGTGAAAGGTGAAAGGCTTTAATTTTCAGATCGTCGAAAAGATGTTGAAAACTGGGTTTGCAACATCTTTTCCACATCTATTACTGGACCAAAGTGGGACAAATTCAGACCGACCAAACACAGCCCAATTTTCAACAAGGATTTTTGGACTAAATCAAGACTATAACAGACCGACCAGATTTAGCCTAAAAAAAAACTATGTCTAAATGGTGTCTGAGAGGAAAAAATTTTGAATCGTGAGATGCCTGTACAAAATCTCAATTGTCTGAGTTATGACAACCACAAAACAGCCTTAAATTCAGGTTAAATTGCAGATAATTGGACTTTCACTCAGTTTTTCCAAGAGCATTTTGAAGCCTAGGAGTGTTTGTCAGTTCTGTCAGTTCGCGCTATAGCTACCAGTAATCGCAGCACTGATGCTCTTTACCATCCGGGGACCCATCCTCCTAAAGACAGTTCAAGATTCAAATAAATGACCCACTAATTTCCCAAGGGTCATTGGTTAGTTAATGGTTGGTTGGGTTGTGTTGTATGAGTTTTGTATTTGGCCATTTGGATCATGGTAAAACAAAACTGTGCCAAACTCGAGTTTTCTCCTATTTAGGTCTGTTTTTTGGTTTAATTGTGAGGTTTTGCTTAAAGGCTATTAGCCCACAGTAGTTAATTCTTGAGGAAACTTCACTTAGCACAACTCCAGGTTAGTTGTTACAACAGGTTTAAGTTAAAGGCTAGCCAAAGTTGTCATCTACCCTTTTTAAATAACTCCAATTTCAGAAGGGTTTACTCAGAAAGTAATGATTATTCTACAGAAAATGGGGGTTGGAGGCAGCTATTGTGCTCCTGTGTTAAAACAACAAGTAGAGAACTGAACTAAGGTGTCTTCAATCTGAAAAGCATATTAATAAGCAGGCTAAAAATCTGTAGCGTTAACTTAACACATCTGTATTTTCATTTCTTTGACCTAACTGCTCTACGTGATCTGTTCCCCAAATCGGAATAAGGTAGGAAGATCATCGATGTCCCATCACCTCCAACATCTATCAGTCAGTTTTTGTGTAAATTGCTTAGTGGAAAGGGTTAGACGATGGTAAAGTAAGATCCAGACCTACTACAATGAATTGAACATTAGAGTTGTTTCAGGACAGCAGTGTCCTCTTTGGTTTCACATTCTGTCTTGAATCCAACTAAATTGAAATTTCAGCTGAATTAAACTTTATAAGATCCTAAACCATCCTCAGCTTTATATACAGCAATGCAGCAAAGAAATAACAGAGAAGGAACTTAGCAACTTTTTCTTGATCAGGTCTAACCAGTGATGAACAGATCAGATGCAGAAATAAAATCTGACCTTTTTTTTCTAGATGTATGAAACATGTTTTTTTTTTTTTTATCAGTCAGAATTCTAAATTTACAAATTTAATCAAAGAAATCACAATTTTTATATGTCAAAAAAAAAAAAAAAAAAACAGTAGGCAGGTTACACCACATAGAAAAATGGGCAGTGTGCAGGAAAAGGCAGATCGGTACTGATCTCTAATTTCACTCAAGTCTCCTCCAGACCCAGCCTCTTTAGGAGAACCAGCGCCGCCGCCAACAATCTGGACTTTTCCACACTTTTCTGCGCTTTCGGAGACATTTGGAGCTCATAAGTGCAGACAGCCTCAGCCTCCTCCATCAGACTGACAGAGAAGCCCCCTCCGTTCTGCTCCCCTCTTCATAAACTTGGCCGTGGTCCTCGACTGCATTCCGGGAACGCGTCTCTCTCTCTCTCTCTCTCTCTCCCCCTCTCTATGTCAGATGTTTCACCGACAGGAGCACTGCGAGTTCAACCTCCGCGCGCTGCCGACGTGCCTCCGCGCGTCCTGATGAACTTCGCTCATCATGTTCCTCCCCTCCAACACCATTATCTGTGATTTTTATTAATGCAATTCTTCTACTCAAACTTGTTTATCTCTTTTATCCATATTTCTCCTTCTGGTTTACTCTGAGCGGTGCGGAGGTGAATTTGAGTGGGTTTTAAGTTGGGGTGGGGAGATGCTGCAGGCTGTTTAAAGGTCCCGGAGCATCAGATGTCTCATTTGGGATTTTTTTGGAGCATGCAACAAGCTGTGAACACGAAGCATGGAAATCACTTTTCCATCCAATTTAAACCTCTTCTCTGCTCCCCATCTCCATATAAACAATCACATTCCTGCCATTGCAGCCGATTCCCTTCATATCTGATGTGATCGATGCGTTTATCAGGCTGACTGCAGCTCGACCCCCTGACGCGCGCCGCTCTGAGATAAGGGACTAAAGAAAGTGACCTGATTCCTCCACCAGCGGAGCAATAAATATATAAACCCATCAAGTTTGTGAGACAAAAAGTCTGGGGAAACTCTGCGCAGGATGGGGATAGACTCCAACTCAGATCACATCAGATATGCTTGCTTTTAACTTCTCTGGTGCTGATCAGAGCAAATTTACATTTTATCACAGAGACAGATCTTTGATTTGCAAGAGTGAAAAGTTGAAAAGGGGAAGAAATATTTGCAAATAAATCAATACTGAGATATTGTGATTGTCCTGCGGGAGACTAACTCATCAGTGACTTGATAACTTCCCAACATGTGGCCAAATGGAAAGTGTAGGAACAACAATTAAATGCTTACAAAGTGTATTTGATAATATATAAGGAGCATTTAAACAATTAAATTGGAATTGTCTCCATAGGGACACTAGAACCATCAATAATTTATGATGCCTCTTACCTGTACCAACCAGTGGCAGGTCTCACCGATGAAGGGGAAGCCCATGGAGCCCTTGGGCATTGGCAGCTTGCAGTTCTTGTCCCGGGTGGCCGTCCACCGGAGCTGCCAGAGCTGCTGGGAGACGGCGACCAGCAGCGCCATGGACACCAGGCAGGCGGCCAGTGTGGCCAGAGCCGAGATCAGGTCGAAGCTGTCGAACAGCATGACGAGGATGACGGGCGGGATGATTAAAGAGAGCTTTAAAAAGTCTGGGACACAAATTGTGGATATGGGTGGTGATTTTTTTGTGCGTAAAAACAACGCAGCGCCTTTTTACGCACACCAAACTCTCCTGGAAGTTAAGAGCGGTAGGATTTTGCTCTGAGAATGAATGAACTGTAAAGATATGATATGAATTATGTTCTGAGAATAATCTTTAAGAGGCGTTTTAGCGTCTCCAGAGCGCAATTCGCCTAAAGCTGAGGTGATGAGATGCAACAGGTGACGCTTTTATCTAAAACTTTCAGGAAAATCAAATTAAACCACCAAAAGTTAGTTTGATTTAATGATTTAAACTTCTGAGACTAGAATCACACCTGACTGGGGACGCTCCTGGTGTTTTAAAGTTCATTTTTAGTCTTTTATGGGAGTTATTGAATTCAAAAATAAGAGTTATAAAGAATAAAATGTCTAGAAATCTGAAGGGAAATAATTGCAAAATGGCCAGGACACGTGGGGGCAAAAAAGTAAAGCCGAACCTAGAGTCAATAAAAGTTTCAACTTTTATAAAAACTTCTGGAATGGATGGAAAAAAGTTGCTTTTAAAGGAGAAACTCTTCCAGAAATCGCGTTATTCAGGTCCAAAGCTTAAAAATATGTTTTTTTCAAAAATGTTTACGAGCCTCTGTGAGGAGTTGGAGATGTTTTAAGATCCGTGAAGCTGCAGTGATGCACAAGAGATGCTCCGTCTTGCTGCTGCTGCTGCGCTCTTTCTGCTTCTGCCGTCCACTCTCCTTTCTGTGCACCTTTCTGTCTCTCGGAGCGCTTCTCTCTCTCTCTGTTGGCTGCATATACAAGTCACCCTCAATGCGCGTGTGTGTGTGTGCAAAGAGTGTGTGCGTCCAGCCAGAGGCACCAATGAGTGTTTATATAGTGTGGAGGCAACTGGAAGGCGAATAGGCGGCCAAGGGCTCCCGTCGAACCCCCTCTAGCCCCAGACTTCCCTCCCATCATCCCTCCTCCACCTCTGCTCCACCTCTCTCAGCTCCCGGAGAACCCCCTCCCCTCCCCTCACTGAGAGGGGGTGGGGGGTGCTGTAAAGTGAGCGGCAAGCGGCGTAAGAAGAGAGGAGGCTCGGAGCGTGCTGCAGCTGGAGCAGCGCCAGCGGCTGAGGTGGAAGGAAAGGAAGAGAGCGAGATCCAGTGCTGCAGTGGCAGTCCTGACTCCATGCAGGACGTGCGCTCTCCCCATCCTGCTGGTCCTCTGGAGCTAGTCACCTGCAGGCTAAAACAAGCAGCACAATTGATGGAAAAAAACAGTTTGTTTCGTTTGGTTTCTGCGCAGTGCGCCTTTTACGCACAAATCTGAGCGCGTGCTTTTTCCAGTTTCTCTGTATTTATTACTCACGTTTTCTTTCTGTCTTCGAAAAATAAATTAATAAATAACTTTTTTTTGTTTGTTTGTTTGTTTTTCATCATTTGAATAACATTCAGTAGGCTCAAAATATCATTTAAAATGCAGTTTGACTGAGGTTAGGAGCAGCAAGAACTTGGTCAGAGTGTCTTTCTTGGAGAACCGCCACTGTCTCCCACACAGGTTTCCTTAATATGTTAATTAGGACTAAATGGTCCGGATTAAGTTTAACGTGTTTCTGTCTTGGTCATATTTATTTAGAAATATTGATTTCTTTTTTTACCAAAAACTTATTAAAACTGAACTTTTCATGAATACAATAAAAATGAAAAATGGCCAAAAATCGCACTTTGACCCAAAATGGCCGACTTCCTGTGGGTTTTAGGGCATACCTCCAAGATACTTTTTTTCATGATTTGAGGAGATCTACCTGTGTGCCAAATTTCAAATCTCTGTGACTTACAGTTTCCCCCAACTCACGTTAGGGGGCGCTGTGGGGTAATTTGGGGGCGGCCATTTTGGATTCCATTATAGACCGGCTATTTCACGCGGGGGACAATTTACTGCCACGTTTTCCTGAGTTTTTGAATATGCGAAGTCCCCTTAAAATGCGTTCGAAATGCCAAAAGAACCGTAATAATAATAATAATAAGAAGAAGAAACTTTCGAAATACAATAGGCCTTCGCAGCACTTTGCTGCTCGGGCCTAACTATAAAATACATTGCAGAAGTTATACCAGGCCTAAAACCACCACCAGAAACAATGATGTCATGGAGATGATGCTTAATGAGTGTTCTTATACATAAGGGGGTTAGATTAGATTTTTTTAAGTCATTGCATGTTTGTTATTTACTAGGAAACATATGAAATTAACTCTATAAAGCTTAATGTGCCTTAAATGATAATAAATAAATAAAAAAAATAAAAGATGCACTGAAATGTCCTATATAATACCTGATCCATGTAAGCTTTGTTTCTTAGAAGGTGCATACATGTTTTCTTGTCCTTAGATCCCCCATCAGCAGGTTAATGAAGACAACACCAACTTTGATAAAGACCTAACAGCCTCCATAACACCAGTATATATGTTGATATAATATACTGATGTGTACTTTTTGCGTTCTATGTTATAAATCATTTATTTGGTGAAGCAATATTTTTGAGGCCCTGTAAACCTTGGGGCCCGTGCTCTGCACAAAGCTCCAATCCAACTGGTCACTGTTGGTTTAGGGGTTGTACGCCAAACCTGAAACCCATGAAATAACTTCTAGTGACATTTATCTATACTGCTAGAGATAAACAAGATATTCTCAGCAACATTGAGGGAAATACATTAGATTTATATTCTTTAAATATTAACTTAAGTTCATTTGTCAGGTTACATAAATCCCCTGATTTACATAGAACTATATTTATAGTGTAGTGCACCATTAAAACACTGTAACTCTCCTGATTTTAGCCTATATTTTGTGAAGCTGGGGTCATGCGGGGGGGACAGGAGTGAGCAACAAAGATCATAATACATTTTTAAAGCTACCAGTTTAAATTTTCATGCATAGAACTGCCATCCTGGTTCTTGGTGTCACAACTGATTAATTTATTTATCTTTTTTTTCCAAGCTGACCTTACAATAAATAGGAACAGTTAATATTTGTGGTTTATGTGACTTCATACATCTCTCACATCCTTCTCAGCTTCATCATATGTAAAATCTGTTTGAATGATTTTCACAGAGATCCCCTCGTGCTTAAATTATGCTAAATTAAATAAACATTGTGACTAATTATTTCCTTTTCCAGTCACTGTCTTGCCTTCCTCACCTCTAAAGCTGCTGATGAAGCATAGCTTGGTATATCCAGTTACAGTAACAGCCCCTCCACTCAGATCAGTGATTCCTCCTTTAAAGCTAATTTCATATAGATTTCTTTCATAACTCAGTCATGTAGAGGAATCATTTTCTCTGCTCTAAACTACTCCTCTTGCTTCACTTCTTCCTTTCCAGAACAGAGAAGAAACCTCACTGGGGTTTCCTCATTTTCCTATTTCATGGAATCTTCTCTTCAGTGCAGCCCTCAATTAGCAGCTCAGCGATGCCGCCTAGTGGAGACAACCCTCACTGCAGGCTCTCTAACGGAACAGACTGGGGAGAGCCACAGATTAGAACACATTTTAATCAACATTTAGCTGTTTATTTAGATGCACTTGATGCTGTGAGACAGATTAAAAGAAAGATTGCACTTATTGCACTGCTGTGCAGTATTTTATTACCTCAAATTGAATTAGTTTTTGTTTCTACTAATATATGGAAGTTATGATATGTGATATAAATAAGATATACATGCAATATGATATTTGACTTGTGTTAAAGCAAATTCGATGTATGATACTCAAACTCATGATAGATGTGGCCATCTGAAATCCCTGAAAAATTCAAAATGTAGTGAATAGATTTCATTTTCACAATTAAATTAACATTATTTGAAGTTGAGATGCAAGTTTATTTCCCACCAGCGACAATATGATCTTTAACACATTATTTTTTCCTTTTTTTTTTTGTATCAGGGTTTGGGTTATAAGTGTGAATTGGTAGAAATCATATTCCAAAGCAAGTCCACAAATGCAGGACAATAATATATATACATATATATATATATATATATATATATCAGTACCAACTTTTCTGCTCTAGTCCATCTATGTCTGGCTAACCAACCAGACATCGTGTTAATCGACAAACAGCAGAAGAAGGCAGTAGTGATAGATGTGGCAATCCCAAACGACAGCAACATCAAGAAGAAAGAACACGAGAAGCTTGAGAAATACCAAGGACTGAAGGACGAGCTAGAAAAGATGTGGAAAGTGAGAGCAGCAGTGGTGCCAGTGGTAATTGGAGCACTGGGGGCTGTGACCCCCAAACTGGGAGAGTGGCTACAGCAGATTCCAGGTAAAACATCAGAGGTCTCTGTCCAGAAGAGCGCAGTCCTAGGAACAGCTAAGATACTGCGCAGAACCCTCAAACTCCCAGGCCTCTGGTAGAGGACCCGAGCTTGAGGATGACACATACCACCCCACGAGGGGTGAGAAAACTGTTTTTTTTTTTTTTTTATATATATATATATGTTGATCAGTTTTCTCGATCGGTCCTGGCTAATTGCAGGACTTTCCATTAATATCTGACTGCTGATTTTCAGGTCAAAAACCTTTTTGCTTCTCTTTTCAGTTGAACGTTTTAAGGAAAACAGGAGGGGTCCCAACAATGTAGAGCATTGAAAAACTCTGCTCACCTTTCATCCAGTCCTCTAAAAGATAAACAAAAAAATCAAGTCAGGTTGGTTTGATATTAATGAATACAGAGTAAGTAGACAACAGAGTTTTGACTGTTGACCTGATGAGTAAAACAGGTCAGCTCTAATCAGATGATCTCTCCCTGAAGCACATCCTTTTATGTCCACTTTTTGTCAGACTTCATTCATGTTTATTTAAGAAAATGCATGAATATCTGTATCCTGTCAGCCTGAATCGATACCATGACTAACATGACCGACACTCCTAGAAATGTAAGTGTTTTCAGCAGCTCTGACTCAATATATCGGCCATCTTTTTTGCGACAGATAATCGACTGAAACTTGGAGTTTCAGGTTACTATTGTGAAATTGAAAAGATTTTAACACCTCCTGAAAAAGAGGGATATACTAAGATTTCTTTGTTTTTAATACTAAATAAACAAAAAAAAAACTCTTATTAACCACAGATTGGGCAAAGTACTAGATAGGAATACCTATCTTCAAACAGAGTGCATGTATAAACTACATCCTACAAGCTTGTTTTGACTTAAAATAGGGTTTCCCCAAGGCTCTGTTTCAGTACCACTGATTTTTTTCATTTATTTATAAATAATAATCTGAAAGATTATTGATAATTTTCACAAAATGTTCAATCCATTTTATAAAAACAACATTCAACCTTATATTTCATGACAATATTCAGGGTTCTTTGAACTATATAAGTTACTTTCATTCTGGAAAAAAAATTTAAAAAGTGGTAAAAGTAAAAAGAGCATTAAAGATAGGACATTTTGAATTTTTAAATCTTTTTAATGTCCTTCAAAAACTGTTTGTGCAAAACTACTTTTATCAATAAATTATTAAAGGTCTGAAACAGTGAACCCTAGAAAGTTATTTGCTCCTTCATTTCCTCTTATCTAAGCCTCTTGCAAGTTATTCTCACACATATAAACAAATATGCAAGACGCATTTGTTCCAAATGTCTTTTACGCAACAGAAGAGCTCAGTTTAAAAGCTATTCTCTAACATTTATGTTTAGGTTTTTACTGTTTGTTCCCTCATTTTCATTCAGTTGCATTAAAGTGCTTAATAAATGCAGGAGAAAGCCAGGAAGATGAAGTGGAGAAAAATAGTTTGATTCAGTATTTGTTATTAATACTTTGAAAGAACTCTGGGAAAACATGCGTTTTTAATTAGTTTGCCAATC